ATGGGCAAGGGTTCTGCTAACTAAATTTGGGGCCCATCCAGAACATGTGGCGCACAGCCGTGCAGCCTTTTTCGCATCCGACATGATGTAACAATTCGTGAAACAGGCATCGGCCAACTGGGTGGTAGCACTCACCACTCTGTGACCTGAGGCGCTCGAGGCTTCGACAACATATCATTTTGCTCACCACAAGACCTCTCGGGTCACATTCCCTCTGCCAATGTTCCTAATTCCGTCTGTGGCACCGTCCATCCACCAGATCCGCTTCCCACTTGAACGCTGCCCGGAGCCGGCACCGCCGGAAAAGACGGCAAAGACGGCAAAGACGGCAGCCGCTTTGGAGCAGCGTCCTGAAAGCCCCATGTCATGAGAATTCTGGCAACGCAAATGTACCTGTCGTGTGGATGCCAGTCGCTGCTTTGCAGCGTTTGATTCCGACTTTTTGAACTGAAACAACTGAACCGAAACACGACAATCACCTGACTACAAAACTGCGCAGAGTGGCGGCGACATTCCAGAAGGCAAGTTCGATGCAGATCGCAAGACCATCAATAAAGAGAATTGCAACGACAAAGTCCTTCTTTTTGGGCTTTCCCTTCCTTTTCTGACTCCTGGCTTCTTTAAGGCGAGCCAGGTTTTGAGGGTGCAAGCACAAGATGCCAGCCTGCTCCTACTCCTCTTCTCCAAGACGGCTCGTCTTCTTCGGATGCTGCTGCTGTCTGTACTGCAGTCCTTGGTCAACTCTCTGGGAATTTTGGGTGACTTTGGGGAGTTCTCAAGCTCTGGGCACTTCGAGCTGGGCTTCGGCTCCGCGGCCTTTTCTTAGTCTCTGCAGCATATGACAGCTCCGAAGAAATCCAGTTTGAATACCCGGCCTCTCTTCTGGACTGCGCTCATCAGTGTCGGAATTGCCTACGTACTTTTCGTCGGCACCTCAGATCTGCAGGGCAAACAGGACGTATGTGGTCTGCATTCACTGCGTTTGAGCAGCTCTTCTTCTTTCCACCATCCATCAGGGTCTTGGCCAACTTGCAGAGTGTAGCCGAGGGTTGGTGCGACATCCTTAGATTCAGATGGCGAAATGAGCGCCAGTGGTTGATCAGATGCGTATACAGTTGGCATGACGGTCATGCGAGTTGCAGGAGTGTCTTCTCCAGATGTGCCATAACTTCTTCAACGTCTTCCGCTCGCTTCTCGGCGATCTCGCGGAGCTTCGATTTAGCGTCCTATGGCAAGTCATCTTGCAAGCAACTGGGCAATTGCTTTCTGTCGGGGTCCTTGTCCAGTTTGAACCTCACAGGGGTGCATGACAAGCCAAGTGAAGAATGCCTACAATGCCTACAATGACTCAAAATATTCAAAACACATCATCAAGGCCTCTGTGCCAAAGCTTTTGCAGAAGTCACGTCCTAATTTCAGGCTAGCAGTACAGGCGGAGACATTCAGCAAGGCCTCTGCCGCGTCCGCAAGAATTCAGGTCGCGACTGGAATTTGTTTCAGCTCTCCTGCCGGCCATAGTCAGGAGATGTGGTGCTGCACGATGATATTCTGATACATGTCCTTCAAGCAGCTTGCCAATCAGGAGTGTCGCTGTCGCAGAAGGCCTGCAGGAAAGCTGATGGCATCATGATCCCACCCTTCATCATGTTCTCGAGCTACTACTGCCATCTGACCGACTGCCTTACAATCATGCATGAAGAATCTCCCTTCACTCAGCACTGGCATTCCTTAACACCATAAACCCAGTCCGCAGATATAGACGATGTGTGATGCTGCACCCGATGTGTCTAAAACGTTCGCCGGGAACAGCAGTCACTTCCGTACTTACTTGCATGGATAAGCTGGTTTATTGTCTGACCCTAAGGTACCGGAACATTCACACTTCAAGTCATTTTCAGGTGGTTTGTCGTAAAGTGGCCATGGCAACCTACGATGATTCAGGTACATCGGGTTGCACTAGTTCGAAGCCACATCGGGGAAGCGGATGCGGCTCCCTGCTGGCTAACAGCATGCCTGCACAGAAAAAGCTGATTGTGCAGTGCAAGGAAGACACTGGAGCTGAATGGCCCCCTTTTGGCAAACGATGGCTCCGGAAATGTGACGAGAAGAAGAGGGCGCTTGTGTTCCCAACCACGACAGGACTGCAGGGCGAACCTGAGGTAGGTTTAAGATTTGGGGCTTTAGGGTGAGGGCTTGGGCTTGCAGGCATGAGGGATTTAATTCGGTGAAACAGACCCAAGACACTGGAACAACCAAAGGAATAAACCCAACCCTCCTAAAGGCATCCACCAGAAACATTTAAAGTGTGAACAAACGACATGTAAGAATAATGGTATTATATACTAACAATATCAATAATGATAATGATAATATTACCAATAACAAATACCAAGACTACTAACAAATTTAACAATAATAGTACTAATAGCAGTAGCAATCACACTAACAATAATAACAACAACAATAGTA